CTCCTGGGATTACGTGAAAGAACATTATTAACACTTTCGTTTTGATAGGAGCAATAATAATTTCTTTCGAAGCACAAACGCATGTCTTCTTCGATAACAATCCTGAATTACCGTTAGCTTTTGAAACTGCCAGTTATTAGACGTGCGGGGGTATAGCTTAGTGGTAGAGCATTCGACTGCAGATCGAGAGGTCTTTGGTTCAAACCCGGGTGCCCCCTTTATTTTATTTTGTTCACGTTTATCAGTGAAACAAGACAGGCACTAACTCAGAGGTTCTGAACCTGTGATTCGCGTACTCCTGGGATTAACTGAAAGAACAGTATTAATAGTTTTGTTCTGATTGGAGCAATAATAATGTCTTTGGAAGCAGAAACGCATGTCTTCTTCGATAGCATTCCTGAATTACCGTTAGCTTTTGAAACTGTCAGTTATTAGACGTGCGGGGGTATAGCTCAGTGGTAGAGCATTCGACTGCAGATTGAGAGGTCCCCAGTTCAAACCCGGGTGCCCCTTTCTTTTATTTTCATCAAGATTATCAGTGAAACAAGACATGCCTGTAAATCAGAGGTTCCCATCCTGTGATACGCGTACTCCTGAGATTAAGTGAAAGAACGGTATGAACACTTTCGATCTGATAGGAGCAATAATAATGTCTTTGGAAGCAGAAACACATGTCTTCTTCGATAGCATTCCTGAATTACAGTTATCTTTTGAAACTGCTAGTTATTAGACGTGCGGGGGTGTAGCTCAGTGGTAGAGCATTCGACTGCAGATCGAGAGGTCCCCGGTTCAAACCCGGGTGCCTTCTTTCTTTTATCAGTGAAGCAAGACATGCCACTAACTCAGAGGTTCAAAAACTGAGATACGCATACTCCTGGGATTATGTGAAAGAACATTATTAAGACTTTCGTTTTGATAGGAGCAATAATAATTTCTTTCGAAGCACAAACGCATGTCTTCTTCGATAACAATCCTGAATAACCGTTAGCTTTTGAAACTGCCAGTTGCTAGACTTTCGGGAGTATAGCTCAGTGGTAGAGCATTCGACTGCAGATCTAGAGGTAACCGTTTCAAACCCTAGTGCCACCTTACTTTTTCCTTGTTCAAGTTTATCTGTGAAACAAGTCATACCACTAACTCAGAGGCTCCCAACCTGTGATTCGCATACTCCAGGGATTACGTGACAGAACAGTAACAACACATTCGTTTTGATAGGAGAAATAATAATGTCTTTGGAAGCAGAAACGCATGTCTACTTCGATAGCATTCCTGAATTACCGTTAGCGTTGGAAACTGCCAGTTATTAGACGTGCGGGGGTATAGCTCAGTGGTAGAGCATTCGACTGCAGATCGAGAGGTCCCCGGTTCAAACCCGGGTGCCCCCTTTCTTTTATTTTCATCAAGATTATCAGTGAAACAAGATATGCCTCTAACTCAGAGTTTCCCATCCTGTGATACGCGTACTCCTGAGATTAAGTGAAAGAACGGTATCAACACTTTAGTTCTGATAGGAGCAATAATACTGTCTTTGAAAGCAGAAATGCATGTCTTCTTCGATAGCATTCCTGAATTACCGTTAGCTTTCGAAACTGCCAGTAACCAGACATGCGGGGGTATAGCTCAGTGGTAGAGAATTAGACTGCAGATCGAGAGGTCCCCGGTTCAGACCCGGGTGCCCCCTTACTTTTATTTTGTTCAAGATTAACATTGAAACAAAATATTCCTCTAAATCAGAAGTTACCATCCTCTGATACACGTACTCCTGAGATTATGATAAAGAACGGTATCAACACTTTCGTTCCTATGAGCAATAATAATGTCTTTGGAAGCAGAAACGCATGTCTTCTTCGATAGCATTCCTAAATTACGAATTGCTAGCGTTGGCTTTTTGAAACTGCCAGATATTAGATCGTGTGGGGTATAGCTCAGTGGTAGAGCATTCGACTGCAGATCGAGAGGTCGGTTCAAGGGCCGGGTGCCCCTCTCTTTTTTTTCATCAAGATTATCAGTGAAACAAAATGCTCTAACTCAGAGGTTAACCATGTGATACGCGTACTCTGAGATTACAGTGAAGAACGTATCAACACTTTCGTTCTGATAGGAGCTATAATACTGTCTTTGGAAGCAAGAAACGTATGTCTTCTCGTAACATTCTGAATTACCGTTGCTTTTGAAACTGCTAGTTATTAGACGTGCGGGGTATAAGCTCAGTGGTAGAGCATTCGACTGCAGATCGAGGGTCCCCTGTTCAAACCCGGGTGCTACCTTTCTTTTATTTTCATTCAAGATTATCATGAAACAAGACATGCCACTAACCAGAGGTTTCCCATCCTGTGATCCATACCCAGGATTCGTGAAGAAAGTATCAACACTTTCGTTTGATGTGAACAATAATAATGTCTTTGGAAGCTAAACGCATGTCTTCTTCGATAGCATTCCTGAATTACCGTTAGCTTTTGAAACTGATAGTTATTACATGTGGGGTATAGCTCAGTGGTAGAGCATTCGACTGCAGATCAGAGTCCCCGTTCAAACCGGGTGCCCCTTACTTTATTTTGTTCAAATTATCAATGGAAACAAGACATGCCACAACGGAGGTTCGCAGCCTGTGATACGCGTACCTGAGATTAGTGAAAGAACAATATAACACTTTCTTTTGATAGGAGCAATAAAATGTCTTTGGAAGCAGAAACGCATTTCTTCTTCGATAGCATTCCTGAATTACTTAGCTTTTGAACTGATAGTTATTGGACGATGTGGGGTATGAGCTCAGTGGTGAGCATTCGACTGCAGATCGAGAGGTTCT